AACCTCCCCTATAGTCTCCAGAATAGAGTTCTGAAAACTATTGGTGTCTATGTACAACAGGCCACCTGCAAGTAACAAGACAAAGCCATAGAAACCACAGAATGTTCCCTCTCAGCACTGACCAATGAGAATAATTGGTACACAGGTATTTCATGCCAAAATATGACTTTAAGAAATTCTCCTGATTGTTCCCAAATGTCAGCCAATCAGAAGCCAACCAGTACCTACTGATGTAATCCTGTGACTTTTGTCTTTAAAACTTAGCAGTAGACAGGGAACTTCACCCCCTCTGGAGGCTGCTGCATCAGCTTGCTAGACAGGTTCCTCCCTCGGTAGGATAGAACAATCAATAAATCTTGTGCATTTGCATTGGTGGTCTGTCTCCCTGGGCTCTTTGGAGATCCTTTTGACTTGGGCACAACATTTTTAATTCTGCATATGTGTGTGTGAGAGAGAGAGAGAATATGTGTACATGTTACAATTGCTCACAGAAGCCAGAGGAAATCAGATCCCCCAGGAGCTGGAGTTACAAGAGATTATGACCTGCTCCAAATGGGTGTTAGGAACTGAACTCTGGTTTCTAGAAGAGCAGCAGCAAGTGCTCTTAATTGCTACACCATATCTCCAGTCTGTGCCTTGGAAACTCTTAGGACAGGCAATCTTTATACTGGAGAATCCTCAGTAACACCTTGAGAGTATCTCAAAGGTTCATTTCAGATTGATGGTCATCCTAATGCTCTTCCATTTCCCTTTGTTTTTTGGTTGGTTGGTTCATAGGTTGAGTTGGTGGGTGCGTTTTATTTATTTATTTGTTTGTTTGTTTGTTTGTTTACTTTGAAACTGAAGGACCCCGAGCTAAAATACTTGTGACTTTTATCAGAATGAACCGTTGAGTCATTACATCCTTATTGTTGGTAGCTGTTCTACCTGCAAGAGGGGAAGTCACCATCCTGAACATTCCATGATCCCATGGGCCCGGAGATTATGGTCGGCCACCTGGAACAAGCTAATCAGAACTGTTCACCTCACCCTTGCATTCCCCGAATTCCCCCAGCCCCACCTGGTTGTGGTTTTCGCCTTTAAGAAGCCCTTAGACCTTTGTTTGGGGTCGGACTCTTTGAGTCCTGAGTGAGCTTGAGTCCCGACCCCAGTGCCCTGGTTTAATAAAACCTCTTGCTATTTGCATCAAGTCTTTGCCTCCACCTGTTGGTTGGGATCACCCCTGTCAGGGGTCTAAGATCCTAGGGGCCTGAGCCTCCGGGGGTCTTTCAAAACGTGGTCTCACCAAACTCATGAACTCAATCCTCCTACTTCGGCCCATATGATGTCAAGGACTTAAGCACTATATTGGCCTCTTTTGCTGTACAACGGTCTCAGGTCTGCACTCCAGATTCAAGCCCTGCATGTCTTTTCTAGTCCTCTCTCATATGTATGTGTTCCTCACTCAAAGTGCTGACATGCATCTTTTTATTATCTGGGACTGGAAATACCACATGTTTTTAAAGGGGAAAGGATTAACCTAAAAAGTGAAATCACTTGCTGGGCGATGGTGGCTCACGCCTTTAATCCCAGCACTCGGGAGGCAGAGGCAGGAGGGTCTCTGTGAGTTCGAGACCAGCCTGGTCTACAAGAGCTAGTTCCAGGACAGCCTCCAAAGCCACAGAGAAACCCTGTCTCAAAGAATTAAAAGAGAGAGAGAGAGAGAGAGAGAGAGAGAGAGAGAGAGAGATCACTCACTGTGTAAACCGTCACATGCTAATGACTGAGGATAAGGCACTCCAGAGTCTGGGGATAATAAAGAAGAAATTGCCAAGCTTTAACTAGGTCAAAATTTCTACTATTTTACCCTTGGCCAAATAAGGATGAATCGTTCTTTGTTCCACTGCCACAAAGGCTTCGGGCTGTCAAACAAGTTACCCTGAGATTTGTCTCTTCTGTGGCACTGACAGATTCTTGGGAGGCGGGGGTGTTCACACATCAGCCAAGACTTTGCCACTGAGCTCTATCCCTAGCCCCATGACTTAAACTTTGTTCTACTTAATAGAACCTCCTAGCCCCTTCTTTCTGCATGTCTTTAAGCCTGCTGTCAAGGCCCACAAATTCACCTTGACTTAGGTCAGAGAGTTCAAAAATGTCCTTAGTCTTCCAAGGTTAAAGCTATAAGACCTAAAGGTCTAAGGCATGGCTACTGTAGGATCTTGTTCATGGATATCTTATCTAAGTAACAAAAAACTTGGTCTGAGGTATGGTTACTCTTGACCTTCAAGGCCAGATAATGAGAAATTTGAGTCTAAGCTGTGGTTACCAAATGCTTGGAGAATTATGGAAGAAAGTCTGTTCTTTGTACATGATAAACAAGTCTTGCTGGGTGTTGGTGGCACACGCCTTTAATTCCAGCACTCAGGAGGCAGAGGCAGGCGGGTCTCTGAGAGGTCGAGGCCAGACTGGTCTACAGAGTGAGTTCCAGGACAGCCTCCAAAGCTATAGAGAAACCCTGTCTCGTAACCCCCCCCCAAAAAAGAAGTCTTTTGCCATGTTTCCCTTTTGGGTTGGGGTATTTAAGAATAGTGAAGAATAAACTTGGGACATCTAGTGTTCACTGGATTGCCCTCCTGACTCTATTCTGTACCTCTGTCTTTTCATTAGCATCTTTTCATTAGCCTTTTCTCAATCCACACTTCCCCTCTCAGGTATGAACTGGGCAAGTCAGCTGGATCTGACTGAAGCCCTACAAAGATGGGTTACAACACCACCCTTTGAATGTTGTCCTACACCTGTCAATGTATCAAACATTCAACAATTAGATTCAGGAAAACTAACAGCAAATTTCATTTATATTCTTCTTCTTCTTCTTCTTCTTCTTCTTCTTCTTCCTTCTTCCTTCTTTTTTCCTTTTCTTCTTTTCTTTTTCTTCTCCTCCTCCAACTGAAACAAAGTCTCACTATGTAGCTTTGGCTGTCCAGGAACTCACTATATAGATGAGGTTGACCTTGATCTCAGAGATGCACCTGCCTCTGCCCAAATGCTGGGATTAAAGGCATATACCACCATACTCAGCTTCTTTCTCAATTGCCTTTTTCTTACAAACTACAATCTGAGGAAGAGGGAATGCTTCTTTCAGCTTATCTGTATGACACTGGTCATAGTGAGACAGACATGTAATCCCAGCACTGGGGAAGCAGAGACAGGAAGGCTGCCATAAGTCCTAGGCCAATTTGGGCTATGTAGACCTAAATTTTTAGACCAGCCTGGATTATATAGTGACACCTTGTTTCATAAAGCAGAAGGAAAGAGAAAAACAACACCAACAACAAAATGTTATTACTAGGGAGATGGCTAATATACTAGAGAGCTGGCTCATTGGTAAGAGTGCTTGCTGTTCTAGGGGCTGGAGAGATGGCTCAGAGGTTAAGAGCACAGACTGCTCTTCCAGAGTTCAATTCCCAGCCACCACATGGTGGCTCACAACCATCCATTATGAGATCTGGTACCCTCTTCCGGTGTGCAGATATACATGCAGAATGTTATATACACAATAAAAATCTTTAAAAAAAAAAGAGTGCTCTTCTAAAAGACCTAAATTAAGTTCCCAGCAGCCAAATTGGGCAGCTCACAGCCAACCATCTGTAACTCCAGTTCCATGGAATCTAATGTTCTGCTCTGGCTTCCATAGACACCCACACACATGGTGAATAACAGAGAGATATACACTCACACACATAAGTAAAATAATAAAAAATATGTCTTTCATAAAAGCTTGTTATTCACAAGATAGCAGTTTGTAAAGTATAAAATGTGCTCCAAGTCTTTTCTGAGATGGAGACCATAGTGCTAAAGATTAGAATTCATTTCCTGGAGCCGGGCGTTGATGGCGCACGCCTTTAATTCCAGCACTCGGGAGGCAGAGGCAGGCGGATCTCTGTGAGTTCGAGGCCAGCCTGGTCTCCAGAGCAAGTGCCAGGATAGGCTCCAAAGCTACACAGAGAAACCCTGTCGGGGAAAAAAAAAAAAAAAGAAGAAAGAAAAGAAAAAGAAAAAGAAAAAAGAAAAAGAATTCACTTCCTGGGAATGTATGCCTTTAATCACACTTTAATCACAGCACTTGGGAGGCAGGATCTCTGTGAGTTCAAGGTCAGCCTGGTTTATAGATCTAGTTTCAGGACAGCCAGAGTTTTTATTTAGATAAACCCTGTGTGTGTGTTGGGGGTGGGGTGGGGGGTGGGGGGAGATCCTGGCTACAGCAAAAATGACAAGAATATCACTTCCTTGATTAAGTCATATAATACTCTTTCACCTTGTTATCTTTTGCCAGTTTTGATGAAGCAAGTAGCTATGGTAATAAGGTCTATGTAGCCAATAGCCAGAATCCAGAGACTGCCAACAACCACATGACCTTAGAAGTAGTTCCTTCCATAGTCAACCCCAAACCTGCTCAACATCTTAATTATGGGTTTATGGGGAACCCTGAGTGACCTGAGTAAACCATACCCAGACTAATTACTATCCCATAAAGACAGTATGTGTTGTGTTAAGGCACTAGACTAAGAGTGTGGTGACATATAGTTTAGCAGTAGATACAAACACAAATATATTTGGAACAGAATTTTACTGGGTGAATTTCTAGAGCCTTTTAGTTGATTACAAAAATGAAAGTTTGGGGATTGGTGAGATGGCTCAGAAGTTAAGAGTACTGACTGCTCTTCTAGGGGCCCAGAGTTCAATTCTCAGTACCCACATGGAGGCTCACAAACATCTCTAGTAAGTTCTGGTGCCCTCTTCTGGCCTCTTTTTTTGTTTTGTTTTGTTTTGTTTTGTTTTTGTTTTTCAAGACAGGGTCTGTGTAGCTTTGGAGCCTATCCTGGCACTCACTCTGGAGACCAGGCTGGCCTGGAACTCACAGAGATCCACCTGCCTCTGCCTCCCGAGTGCTGGAATTAAAGGCGTGGGCCACCAACACCCGGTTTAAATAAATCTTTTAAAAAGTTTGTATTTGTACTTACTTGGGATGAACTTAATATGTAAAAATCCATTGGTTCCCTTCAATGTTATACAGGGTTCAGCAGTAATCGAAAAAGGGAACTTCATGCTATCTAAAATGAATAAGCAAAACATTAGCACATTGTTATAAATAACTTCCAATAAATATAACATTCTGAATATCAGCCCCCAAAAGCTTTTTGTGTTAAAATTATATAACGAGAACAATTGAAGGTCATTAAAAACTCTCTCTCTCTCGACGGGTGTTGGTGGTCACGCCTTTAATCCCAGTACTCGGGAGGCAGAGGCAGGTGGATCTCTGTGAGTTAGAGCCCAGCCTGGTCTACAAGAGCTAATTCCAGGACAGCCTCCAAAGCCACAGAGAAACCCTGTCTTGAAAAACCAAAAAAAAAAAAAAAAAAATCTCTCTCTCTAGAAGACTGACAGTTGTAGCATAGTTGAATAAGAGGACCTAGGTTTTCCCTCAAGTACAAGTTCCACTGTAAAAAGCCAGAAACTAACAAAAAGTCTTCAGTTCCTGCAAACACACAAACTGTACTCACTGGTGTCACTACAAAGATTCAGGACATCCTCTCTTCAGAGTCCTAGACCCCAGCACCATACAATTAGGAAGCAGCTCCAAACCACCAGCTTTACCTGTATCTCAATACCCTAATTCTTCCAATCTAGCTCCCAATGACTGACTTCCAGGCTGTGCATCTTGGAGTTCTGATAATCTGGCACAGTCTAGCTACACAGCAAAGCAGGGAAGAAGGTGTCTGAGCTGACCTTCCTGGTTCTCCCCTCTACTCAGCATGTGTGAAGACAGAAACTCCAAGCTCTCAGCTTTTCCATCGTTAGAGAGAATTGATACAGTCTTCTAGCACCTCCAGTCCTCCAGAGATCCAAAAATAATTAATACCCATCTCACTAATCCCGGAATTTTGATGAGTGTGGGTGACACTGAAGGGAACATGCAAAAAAAAAAAAAGCACTTCGACCTAAGAACCATTTTGACTTCAGACTCCATTTACCTGTAGGATGAAACACAGTTCAAGTTCCCAAGCCCTAGGGGAGATGAGAACTTTCCATTGACTGACAAACCTCCTGCCTAAACCATAGAAACAGTCAGTTATGCCCCTTAGTTCTTACTGTGGCTGCTCCCAACAAGAGAAAGAACAAATGAATCTGATTGGATGGACGGAAGAGCTCCCATTTTGTATAGGTTGACAAAGATGGACCACACAAGGAAAAGTCCCTAATCTTTGACTTCTGATTGGTGAAAATTATAACTGTAACTTGGCAACAAATGTTTGTGATTTTTGTGCTTATAAACCCCTCTTCTAGAAGCAGACACCCACAACTAATCACTGAACTGAACTGGAATCCAGTTGCAGAGAAGGACAAGTGATGAGCAAAGGGGTCCAGACCAGGCTAGTGAAACCCACAGAAACAGTTGACCTGAACATCAGGGAGCTCTTGGTTCCCAGACTGATAGCTGGAATACCAGCATGGGACTGATCCAGACCCCAGGAACATGGGTTTCAGTGAGGAAACCTCGGAAATCTACAGGACCTCCTGTAGTAGTTCAGTACTTATCCCTAGCATAGGTGTGGACTTTGGGAGCCCATTCCACATAGAGGAATACTCCCTGAGCCAAGACACACAGGGGTGGGCCTAGGCCCTATCCCAAAGGATACAATAGACACTGATGACACCCTATAGAAGGCCTCACCCTCCAGGGGGAGAAGAAAGGATATATATATAATAGGTAGGGTTTTATTTGGGGGAGGGGTGGTAGGGGGAGGGGAGGGAGAGGGAACTGGGATTAACATGTAAAATAATCTTGTTTCTAATTCAAAAAAAAGAAAGAAAGAAAGAAAGAAAGAAAGAAAGAAAGAAAGAAACCCTCTTCTGCCCCTGTTCAGGGCCGCCAGAAGCAAAGCTCCCTAGTCCAAGTCCAAATCAGTAACCCACTTATGTGTTGTCTCTTTTCTTCCTTGTGGCACACAGTGGACTGGATGTAACAATATCACCTATCTACCTGGGGTAGAAGATGTTGCTAGAATTAGTGGATGCCTGTCCAAAATAAATTCAAGTTGGGTGAAGGATGTAGCTCAATGTTAGAATGCATGCCTAGCTATGCACAATTCAGGCCCCATTAAACAAATAAATCTATGAAAAACAAATAAATAAATTCAAGTGAGTCAGCCAGACTCTTGAGGGCAATCTATTTATTTATTTATTTATTCATTCATTCGTTCATTCATTCATTCATTCATTTTTGTTTTGTGGCAGGATCTTACTCTCTAGCTTAGAACTCACTATGTAGATCAAGCTGGCCTCAATATTGCAACAATCTTCCTGCCTTGACCTCAGGAATGCTAGAATTAGAAACATGAAACACCATGCCCAGTCCAAGTAGAATTTTTTTGTGGGCCTTAAAAGGTTGCCATATAAGCCAGATGTGGTGGCATATACTTTACTCTTAGCACTCCAGAGCCTGAGCTGGAAGAATCTCCATGAATTTTATGGCTATTCTGGGCTAACCCATACTACACAGTGAGTTCTAGGTCATCTTGGGTTACAGTGAAACCCTGCTTCAAAAAGAACAAACAACAAAATGTTCCATTTCTTAATGCTATTATGGCAAATAGATTTGACATGTGTTTGGAAGAGCATATGAATTCAAAAACCACCTCTTCAGCAAGCCACGAAGAATTCAAATGTGCCAAAATCTTGATTTTGAATTCCACCTCAGTCCAAAATAACTTTTTCTTATTTAAGTTCCCTAAACTATAGTGATTTGTGTTTTTGTTTGTTTGTTTTGTTGGTTGGTTGGTTTGAGTTTGTTTTGTTGTTGTTGGTAGTTTTTTGTTTGTTTGTTGTTGTTGTTTTAGTTTTTGGTTTTTCCAGACTGGGTTTCTCTGTATAGCCCCAGCTGTCCTGGAGCTTACTCTGCAGACCAGACTGGGCTTGAACTCAAGGAGATCCACCTGCCTCTGCCTCACCAGTGCTGGGACTAAAGGCATGCACTACCACACTTGGTATGGTGTTTGTTAGGCAAGCCAAAATAACTAAGCCTACCCAGATAAAAAAAAAAAATTACCTCTCTTCTTTCTTGAAAATTGTCCTCAAAGTCAGGACTGAATCAGCTGTCACTGTCACTAACACTTACCTACCGACTTTAAAGGAATTAATGTGTTCCAAAGGGAGGTGTTTTTGTCTTAGTGAACTCTCCCAGGCAAGGGAGTGCTAACACTCTGGAATGGCAGCCTGCAGGGCCATCGAATAGAGACCCTCGTTGCTATCCTCCAGCCTCATGTTGGGGGGCTTCAGGGAATGTCCACAGGACTTGTTGGTGTCACAGAGCAAAGGGGCAGATTCTACCTCAGAAAGTCTCATCAAAAGACTAAGGAAGCCAGGTGTGTGCCAGGTGTGGTAGCCCGTGCCTTCAGTTCCAAAAGGCAGAATCACACAGGTCTCTTAGTTTGAGACCAGCCTAGTCTACATACCAAGTTCCAGAACAGCTAGTGCTATACAGAGACTCTATATCAAAAAACAACCAAACACACAAAGACAAAGGGAGCTAAATTGCTACTAAAAGAGTAATGCTGAATAATTTTTATTATACATTATTAATAGGCATAAGAGTCACAATGTAGTACCTACCAAAAGAAGTAGTGTAGGGACTGCACAGGTGGCTCAGTAAATAAGAGCAGGCCCAGGCTCAATTCCCAGAACCTCAAACTGTCAGCTCAAAGTAGCCTGTAACTCCAATTCCAGGGAGTTTGGTGGCCTCTTCTGACTTCTGGGGGCACCAGCCTGAACATGGTACACATATATAACCAGAACACACACACACACACACACACACACCATCCTGCACATGCTGTACATATATACCTAGAACACACACACACACACACACACACACACACACACACATATCACTAAAATAAGTAAATTGACAAAATGGGGGGCCAAAAAGAAAGAAAACAGAGGCTAGCAGACTGAACTTCCTAATGCTCTAGAAGCATAAATGTTAACTGTGGTCAAAGTGCTTCACAAGCACATCCCCCAAAATAACCAAGCTGGAGACACTGATTAGGCTGGCTGGC